GGTGGTTCTGTTGTGTTTTTGTTTGTTGTGTTGGGACAAGGTTTCACTATGCAATCCTGGCTGGAACTCAATATACAGACCAGGCTAGATTCAAGTCAACAGATGTCCTCTGCCTCCCATATGCTAGAAAGAAGGCATGTGCCACCAAGGCCACCTTAATTTTTTTAAATTATACTTACTTATTTATTGTAGGAGTAAGGGAACACTCAATTTTCAGCCTGAGCAGCAGCCAGGTTCTAACACTGCAGTCTGTAGCTCCCCAGGGTCACATGTGCACAAAAGCCCCATGTATGCACCCCACAGCCCCAGGCTGCTCTTCTACAGAAATGCCCCTGCCCTGAGAAAGCATCATGGCTGCAGGGCTCTGTCACTGTTCTTGGGGGAAAATGGTTCTCACTGCAGGAGACAGATTACAGCATCCTGGAGAGAAGTCATCCCACAGCAGGGTCCCTATGGCAATCTACTGAGTCCAGGACTTGAAACAACAGAGCCCATGACTTGGGATTGACGGGCCAGCAGGTGGCAGCAGGGATGCTGAACTCAAGGGGAAGTTGGGCTCCTGAAGAACCAATCAGAGCCTGCTGTATAAAAATGCTGGAGACCAGCAGCTGACATAATGCAGCCTCATGGGGCCCAGCCCCTCCTTGAGAGACTTAGCCATCGAATGACCTTCACCTACGGACCCTTGACTGTAGAGCAAGGCCAGATGAACTGGAGGTGAACGCTCATGACCAAGAGGGCCCCCTCTCAGACCCACTAAGGCTAAGGACAAGGTTCAACTGGTGGAGTGCTTACCTGCCTGGCAAGCACAGCTAGGTTCTATCTCCAGTAGGGAAAAGGGGGCACACCTGTCACACAGCACACGGAGGGCAGAGAGGAGGTTCTGTAGGAGTTCAAAGTCATACATCTTGACTACATAACAAGTTCAAGGCCCTGCCTAGGCTACATGATACCCCATCTAATAAGGGGAGACTTTCTGACAGGTACAAGAGGCCCAGTCCCCTCTCCTGAACGAAGGTTCATTTAGCCCTAAATCATCCCTGAGGTTCTGTGCTCTGCATCTCCAAGGACAGGATGGATGGATACAGAAGTGCATCCATGTGCAGCTGGCAGTGAGGCCATGAGAATGAGGTCCATGACCGTGACATCTCAGGTCAAGGGATCAGAGGACCAAGGGGACTGTGAGGAAGGCAGAGAAAGCGGACATGACAGAGTCAGCTGCATAGCCTCCTGCAGAGAAGCATGGAGAAGCAGTCAGTGCCAGGAGATCTAAGGGAATGGGAAGTCACCACTGCACATGTCACTCAGGGAGAATGATGCCATTTCCTCTGGTACAACCACATCTTCATACCCTTCAGGGAACTGATGGAACCTTGTCATGAGGAAGGGTGGGAAGATCCTCCACAGAACCAGCCCTAAGGACACCACAGCCCTGCTCCCACTACTCACAAATACACCCAAACACAGTCCAGCTCTGTCCACTCTCAGAGATGTCCCAGGCAATGTGACATGAGTGACACATTGCAGCTCTGAGCCCTCTTTCCCACCTCATGCAAAGAAGGTTCTAGAACAGACATAGCTAGAGGGAATCATTCAAATGTTTTGTGGTAACAGACTTCCGGGAGCCCAGCACCAGATCCGTGGCCTTTGAGGGGAGTTCAGAGGCTGCACCTAGCAGGCAGCTGGAAGTCAGTGTGGACTGGAGCAGTGCAAGAGCTCAATGGGACTGAAGTCTAGTCACCTGTCCTGGTCCAGTCATGTGACATGTGCCAGGGCTTCTCTGATCCTTGGATTCTGCTTATGAGTGTGTGTTAAGGTTGGTGGGAGGCAGAAAGGCTCCTTCAGAAGCTAGAGAAGCTTGGGAGTCACAGTCGAGGCAAGGGAGACGGTCACCCAGGAAGCCCAGGGAAGGAACAGACTCGGCAGCAGAGAGCAGTCACGGTGAGAGTGTCCATTGGGCACTGGTTTTCCTGGGGCGCTGTGAGGCGTCCCTGAGGGGATCAAGAGGTCTAAGAGCAGATGAAGGTGGGGTCACCATACTAGGGCTGGGGACTGAATGTGTTTCCTCATCACCTCCTTTCTCATTGTGTCTGAAGTGAGCAGAAACTGACCACTTCTTTACCTATGATCATTAGAGAGAAAGACACAGACAACCAGCTTGAGAGGAAACACAGTGAGAAACAGACGGAGATGAGGGCAGGACTGGAGAAAATCAGGAGCTCAGGAAACAGTGACTACAGGATGCATAGGGAATGGGAAAGACTGGATGAGACAGGAGGTCAGGGTGGAAGAGAAGAGAGCCCAGCATGCAGAGGTCAAGGCTGTTTCTACCAGCCAAAAATGGGGGCTGGGCTCAAGGACTCAGTCATCTTCTCAGTGACCACAAGGAAGGATCTTCTGCAACATGGGAAAGAAGAAGGCAGAATGATAAAGGAAGTTGTTGGCCACAAGGAGGTGGAGATGGGGAGGTCCTGCCCCCACTCAGTCTTCCACATGACAAGGCCCAAGGCATGTGGGTCACTTTACTCTAATTCTCTCCTGACTTTTGAGCACCCGAGGATCCCTCCACGGGGCCTCCTCTCCTTCCCGATGGCTCTGCTAATCTCATTTCTTGGAGGGATTCTGGACATGGCTTGGTTCCTGCTTCTGCTGCTGCCAGCAGCCTGCCTGCAAGCTGGTAAGTGGTGGGAACCTCACTACTGGGGACTTAACCACAGGAGGGGTGAGTGGGGCTGGGAAGAGTCGGCTGGCATGTGGAGAGGTGACTGCTCTAGGAGCCAGCCTGTCCTGTGTGCCCCAGGAGAAAGCTCATCCTCAGAGTTGGTGCAGCCTAACCTTTCCCCGTCTGTCCTGTCCCATATGTAACAGTAGGACATAGGGACAGTCCTCCCCTGTGTCCCACACCTGCCTATGGATGACGGCTCAGGAAGCTCTGGGTTGTCCATTCCATCCCCTGAAGTGGCTTCAGATTCTCCCCATCCTTCTCAGGGAACTCAGCAGGATCCAACAGAGAAAGACCATATGGGTTTGACCAAAAACCACACATCTTTGGTGTCCAGGGCGGCTCCATCGAGATCCCCTTCTTCTTCTACTTCCCCTGGGAGTTGGCACCAGACCCACAGATGATGATTCTCTGGAGATGGAAGCACTTCCATGGGGAATTTATCTACAACTCTTCCTCGGGTTTCATCCATGAGCATTTCAAGGACCGGCTCGTCCTGAACTGGACACAGCCTCAGACATCCGGAGTCCTCAAAATCCTGGACTTTAAAGAGAAGGATCAGACTGTGTACTTCTGCCAAGTTAGTCTGAAAACAACAAAGCGCAGGGAGATTTTTCAGTCGATCGAAGGGACCCAACTCACCATCAGTCAAGGAGAGCACATCCCAGGTCAGTCCCTGGTGGCCCTGACTTCCTTGTACCATACATGTCACTAGAGATTCTACACTTCTGATCTTTCCCACAGATTCCTCTTGTGTATTCTGTCCCCTCCCCAGAGCTCTGCCAACTTCCTCCTTCCTCTTCCCCAAACCATCCACAAGCCTTAGCTGCTCTCCCTGAGCTGCCCCCTCACTGTGCCCTCAGATCCCACCCCACTCCCGGGCCTCAGCTCTTCCCAGATGTTCAGCCTCCTGCTCCTTTCTCCCAACGACACTACTGCCCTGCCCACCCCTGCCCTTGTTGCCTGAAATCCATGTAGGTGTGGGTGCTGTGCCAGGGTCTCTGTTAATTCCCAGTTTACACCACATCTCATGCCTTCCGCCAAAGGTGCCTTCAGGTCACCATGTACACCCCTCCTCTTCTGGGTCCCCGTACCTCACCTGTATCTAAGACACATCCCTCACCTCTCCTGCCCCAGTTTCTTTTTCCCCTCCCTCAGTTTCCTCTTCTTCCTCACGTTCTCACCATGATCAGGTCTTCTGGTTGCTTCACCTCCTCTGTGGCAGCTGTGACTTCAGCTTCCACACCGAGTGCACACAGACCCAGCCTAGTCACCGTGTGGGTGTTACCCCGCCACCTGTCACCACTGCTGGGCACTCTCATGGTCATTATACAGAGAGATGCAGAGACCAGCAGAATTCAACCCCTGCCCAAAATCATGCTGGTGACCAACAGACCCCACAAAGACCCTTTACCTCCAAGCGTCTCTCAGCTATAGACACATGGTCTCTGCTGGAGTTCACTCTATTGTTTGCCTCCTCCTATCTTGATTTTGTAGAGTGGATATATAGTGCAAGCATACGTGTGTGTGTGTATGTTTGTGTGCACACACGTGTGTGTGTGTCTGTGTGTGTATACACATATTCCCCTCTTTGTGCTTTGGAAGACCAGAGTGCGGCACTGGGAATCCTCCTCTGGTAAGACCGACTTTATTCCCTTGAGGCAGGGTCTCTCACTGAACCTGGAGCTCACTGTTCTGGGCCAGGCTGAAAGGCTACGAAGTTGCACTGATCCTCTTGTCCCCATCTCCCATGGTCTTGTGGTTACAGGTGCTCACATGACCTGAATTACAAATAATGTGTATGATATCTGAGGAAGGAGCAACTAAGGTTAATCCTTGGCGCGTGCGCACGCGTACACACACACACTCACACACACACACACACCATTATGTTTTGCAAAATTTTAATAAAAATAAATATTTAGAAATTAAAATATAAAATAACAGCCATATAATAATCAATTATTAATTGCATTGCCAGTTCTCAGGATGCAGTGATAAATGGGTTTATCACCTCCAGGTTAGACCCACCTGCCTCTCCCTGGCCATCCACTCCTCATCTTAACCCCTAAGCTGGCTCAGGATAAAGTCCACACCCAGAGCTGACCAGGCCGCCTTACATCTGTGTTTCCTGTGCCTCCTACACGTTTCCCTAAACATCCTTTTCTGAGATTCCTGTTCTTCTCAGCCTTCTCCCTCTTCCTCCTTTCCTAACTTCTCTTGGCCCTCAAGATAATCTGTCAGTGCTTGGTAGAAACCTCAATTTAAGGCAGCCATGCCCGTCTCTGCTTCAGTCAGACACACCATGGTTTCTGCTTTAGCAGGACTTCAGATGGTCCCCAAGGCCACACACATGCTAGACCAGGGCTCTGCCACTGAGTTAACACCTCACAGCCACTATGGGTTTTCCATCTGTATTTTGAAAATTAATTCATTAACTGAATATTCCTGTCCATTGTTTTTAAAATGTTAAAATTAATGATAAATAGACATTTTTTTCTTTCCATCTTTTAAGACAGAGTCTCCTGAGGCTGGCCTCAAACTAGCTATGAAGGATGACCTTGAACTCCTGACCCTCCAGTCTCCACTTCCCAAATGCTGGGATCACAAGGGTGTGTCACCACTCCTGTGTGCAGTGCCTGAGATGTGTATGTGCATGTCAGTGTGGTTACATATTTACATGCATGTGTCTGTGTGGACATACATGTGGAGGCCAGGTAACGACCTCAGAAACCTTTCCCTGGACACTTTATGCCTTTCAATTCTCTTTCTTTCTTTCTTTCTTTCTTTCTTTCTTTCTTTCTCTCTTTCTTTTATCTTTCTTCCCTCCTCTTTTAAGGAGGGGTGTCTTTCTCTGGCCTGGAGCTCACCAAGTGGGCAAGGCCAGCTGGCAGTGAGTCCCAGGGCCCTTCTTCCCTCTGCAGTGCTGGGATTACGTGGCGACACACACAGGTCCCTGGGGATGCAACTCAGGTCTTTGTGCTTCAGAGATGTCCTGGTTGGAGTTTCTAGTGCTGTGATAAACACTGATCAAAGCACTGGGGAGGAAACGGTTTACTGTGGCTTACATGCTCCTATCACAACCCATCATCAGGAGAAGGCTGGGCAGGAATTCCAGGCAGGAACCTGGAAGAGGAACTGAAGCAGAAGCCATGGAGGAGGGCTGCTCACTGGTTTGCTTTCTGGGCTTACTCAGCCTGCTTTGATCCAGGATTTATAGCATCCAGGACCAGCAGCCCAGACAGTGAGCTGTGCCCTCCCACATCAATCAAATCAAAAAAATGTCCTGCAGACTTGCCTGTGGGCAATTTGATGGAGGTATTTTCTCAGTTGAGGTTCCTTCCCAGATAACTACAGCTTTGTCAGATTGACACAATAACTAACCAGAGCACAGGGCAAGTGCTTTCTGACTGAGCCATCTCCTCAGTTGCTGGCCTGCCTGTTCTCCTCTCGGGACTACACTTCCTTAGTGACTCTAACCGTATCCATGACTGCGGCCGATAAGACTCTTTCCCTCTCAGCCATTACTCAATCAGACACTTCCAACAACTTTGTTTTTTGTTTTGTTCTTTTGGGACATTCTGGGAAAGAAGGTAATATATATGTATAGATATATGTGTATAGATACACACACATATGTATACACACGTGTTTGCCTACACTCCCTGCCAAAATTAGGACAACAAAGGAAATTCGTTATATAAAAAGTCTGAAACTGAGTAGTAATGATGGCTGCTTCGCAAAATGAATGCGCTGTCAGCCAATAGAGAGCATATTGCTGAGTTCAAATGAAATATCATACATTGTATACATTTATACCTGAGGCAGGATCTTACTACGTAGCCCTAGCTGGCCGAGAAATTGCTATGTAGACTTGATGGGCCTTGAGTTCACAGAGATCTGCCTGTCTCTGCCTCTCGAATGTTGGGGTTTAAGGTGTGCTCCACCACAGTCAATTTTAAAGTTTTTTTTAAGTGGGGAGGTGCAAACCTGTGGTCCCAGTGGAAGGTGGAGGCAAAGAGATTAGGAGTCTAAGGTCATTAGCTACTCAGCAAGTTCTAGGCCAGTCTGGACTACATGGACTCCATCTTTAAATAAATGTTAAGAATGGTTAAAAGCAGTGACTTTGTGATTGTGAGGACCAAAGCTCAAATCCCATCACCCACAGAGGAAGCTGGGTGTCCCTGCAAATGCTGTGACACCAAGGAGGTGGAGGCAGGAGGATTGCACAGTTTGTCAGATTTCAGTCTAGCTGATACATGAGCCCCTATTTCATAGAGAGATGCTGTCCCTGAGGAATAGATGGAGAATGTTGCAAGAGGACACAAAAGCTTCTTCTGTCCCCACATGCATATTCAGGAACACATCTCTATCCCTCGTCTGTGTGTGTGCACTCATGTGCATGCATGTGAGTAGGTGAGTGTACGTACACTCACACAGATGCATAATATATATATATATATATGCAAAAGATTTTTAGTATCATTTGCTTATTTAAATATTTCACACATTTTACAATGTATTTTCATATCTACATCAAAAGCGAGCAGTGTCTTCTGCAATAGGTTCTTACCATCTAGCTGGGGTGGGCAACCAAGAGCAATGCCAATAGTCTGTGTGGTATTGGGGCTCTGAACCTCGCTCACCAATAACGCATATGGAGGCAAGCTGTGCCTGTCACTGAGATTTTGGTTCCATAACTCACATCTAAGAAGCAGCCTTGTCCACGCTGGCAGGCTACTTCTGTTCTAACAAGGACTGTTACTAGAAAATGACTGTTTAGATCTGTGTGACTTGGAGATTGCTCTTTGTAAGAATGACATGAGCATCTGAGGACATTCCTACCAGGAAGTAGAGTTGACATTGCTCACCCGATTCTCAGCCTCAGCATCTGTTCCCTTCTTCCTGTGTGAGCTTCCAAGAGCTGTTCCCCATCCCACATCCCCCAAAGGAGACAGGACAACCATGTCCGTCTGTCCATTCCCCATCCAAGAAGAACTCACTCTTTTCTTGAGTGTAGGGTCCGAGCCTGGGCCCTGGCAGCTCTAACAAGCAAGGCTTGGCCACCTGTCCTCAACAGGACAGTTAGAGAGACAGGTCACAGTAAAAGCAGAGGAAAGAGGTTTGCTCAGCATGATAAGATTGGGAAGAGGAACAATCTAGTGACAACCCACAAATCCATGTTTGGGATTTTGACAGGTCCTGACATGAGGTTTAGGCTTAAATAGAAGGCAAGACATATGAATAGTCAAGCCATCTCAGTTCCGGTGTGGCCACACCCACAGTGAGCCATCATCCTCTATCTCCAGTCTCTCCTACAAGTTGATCTGAGAAATTGTCAGAACTCTGTGAACTCTGTGGTAGACTAGTTCTTTTGCTAGATGGCACCAGGCTTCAGCCTTTTCCTTCTTCCAGCTTGAGACTCCTTGGATGACTCCAGTTCCATGGAGTCCATGCTTCAGTATCTGATGACAAAGAGTTCTGCAGAGGCATCTCTAGAACATCTTCATTCCTGCCCAGGAAGTCCCTTGCTGACTTCCTTTATCTCTTCCCAGTCCCCAGGACCACCTTTCCAAGCCCCACCACTGCAACTTCTGAAGGTCAGAAGAACGGGTATAATAAGACCCTGGATCTGGGAGCCAGAGTTGGGTTGGCAGTGGCTGCTGCTGTACTCCTGGCTGGGGTTTTGGGATTGATAGCGTTTCTCACATGGAAGAGAAGGAAAGGTAAGTGGTCCAGACTGCATGCCCATCACACTTCCTGAGTGTTTCCACAGGACAATCTGCACCAGAGTCCTCGAAGGGGATTGTTGACAGCTCAGATCCTAGGGCTCAGGTGATGGCTCAGTCAGTAAAGTGCTTACTGCGCAAGCTTGAGGATCCTTCACCACAATCCTTGTAGTCCCGGTGCTGAGCAGGTGGGGTGTGGACAAGATCATCCCCGAGGCTGATGACTAGGTCACACTGGCCTAATTGCTGAGCCTCGGGTCCCAGTGAGAGACCCTGTCTTTAAAAACAACAAGGTGAACAGCTTTTGAGAAGCAATAGCTACGGGTGACTTCAGGCCTCCCCAGGGCAGATCCCTGACGGCCTGTTCTTGAGTCCAGAGTCAGGCTCTGAGGTTTCTGCTTAGAGTAGCTGGGGTCTTTTTGTTGCTGTTGTTTCAGTTTGGTTGACTGCAGGCCTGCACTGCTAACCCCACCGGGAATCTGCTTTAAGCCGGTTCCCCACGAGAGGCTCTGAGGGTTCAGTTTGTGAACCGCACAGTCCAGTCACAAAGTCAGTTCTTCTCTGTTGACTCGGTCATTTCATCATCAGAGGAGAAAGGGCCTACCCAGAGGAAGCCAGGGTAGGAAAGCAGAAGGGACTGGAAGTCGCCTCAGCTCAGCTCTATTGATTGCTCCACTTCCCAAAGTTTGACTTGGAACGGAAACCCCAAAATAGATGAACATCCAGTTTCTCAGTAACTGTGGGTGATGGGAGAGGCGTCCCAAGGGCTGAGTGTTCATTTTGGAAAGAGCTGTGGTGTTGACAGACATGGTCAGAGGAGAGACAGGAGGGTAGAGGAGCTCTCAGAGAAAGAAAAACTATATAGAATGGCAAAGAATAAATAATGACAGAAGAGGCAGAGATGGCTCAGGAGGTCAAGACACTGGACATGCTAGAACATACAGGGCAGAAGGAAAGAACTGAGTCCTGTATGTTGTCCTCTGACACAGGCATGTCATGGCCTGTGCACACTCATACACATGGTAAATAAATATAACACAATTTAAAAAAAAACAATGACAGTACTGTGATCCACACCTCAGTCTGTGCACCGGGGTAGGGACAGCAGGATCTTGACTCCATGAGAATTTATCTCAATCCCTCTCCCTTCCACAGAATAGCCAGGAAAGTGCTGGGAATCACGCAGGACACTTTGGCCTTCCAGGAAAGGGAAACCATGTCAGGAACTCTTGAGTAGTGTGGTGCTGGTAGAGGAGGCAGGAGATGACAGAGGGAACCTTGTAAGTCAGGTCCCCAAGCCTCTGGTACCAGAGGCATAACCAAGAGGCCACCTCAGCGCCCTGCTATGATGACATCAGCTTGTGTGGAAGGTCTCAGATGGAGTTCAAGAGGGTCACCAAGACAGGTCACTGGGGAGGAAGGTGTTTACTAAGAGTTATCAATGCCACGGACAGTCAGAAAGGTAGACAGCAGCATGACAGGGGCTCTAAGAGATGTCAGGCCCCACCAATATGGCAGGGGCTCTAAACAGGAAAGGGGGGCTCTTTCTTTATCCTTCTGAGGATGGGGGTGGTTTCACTGCACAAGCCTGAACCAGGAAGGAGGGAAGAACTGGGGCAGGATATGTGGCCACTAATGCTCTATGACGTGAGTCACTCCCCAGGAGGAAATCCTGGGGCTGGGTGGAAGTATGTCAGCTGGAGAGTCACAGTGTCTCAGGAGTGAATCTGTGAGAGGTGAAGGGTGGTGCTGCGGCCTGAGCAGCTGCTGGACTCTAACCTTACAGTCGTAGCGTGTAGAGGACAGACTGGAGGTGCCAGGCTGTGTCAGTTACCACTGGGGCTGCCCATGGACACGAATGGCCAGGGCCAGGAAAATTTCGAAGTAAAAGCTCTCAGACTCTGTGACTAACCCTGTGTGGTAGTGCGTGTCTGTAAGTCCAGTGTGTGGAAGGTGCAGGCAGGAGGATCAGCATTCTAAGTCTTCCTTGGGTGCAGAAGATCTCAAACAAACAAAAACAGACACAGGGACCAGAGAACAGGAACAAGTCTCGTTTGCTGAAAAACAGTTTGATGAAACCACCACGCCGTATGGGGACTGAAGGAGGAAGTCTGTCTGAGGGTGTGCGATGGCACTCACTTTTCCTCTGCTGTGATAAAAATGTTATGATCAAAAGTACCTTGTGGAAGGAAGTGGTCATTCTCGCTTGCAGCTCCAAAGCAAGGTTAATAATGGCAGGGCAGCTGAAGCAGGACACTGAGGGGTCACATCTCAACCACATGCAGAAAACGCAGAGAAAACAGAAGTGAGGTGGAGCAATACGTTCTCAAAATGCATCCCCAGTGACACACACACCTCTTCCAGAAGGCTGCATGTTCTATAACCTCCTAAATGTTCCATAACCTCCCCCAATATGACCAAGGGTTCAAACAGGTGAGCCTGTGGTGCAGATTCTTCATTCAAATCCACACAGGGATAGACGGAGCAGCTGAGTCAGTGATATATTTGAAGTGCCTGTGTGGATATGACAAAGCTCTGCTAAAATATAAATAAATGATAAAATGTGTATTTATAAGTCAAAAGGAAGACACAGAGAGATGGCTCAGGAGTTAAGAATATGTGTTGCTCTTGCAGAGACCCAGAACTCATATGGAGCAGGTCACAACCTCCTGTGCATCCAGTGCTCTCTTCTGGCCTTCTTGGGCTTGGGAACACAGTTAGCACACACAATCTCACACAGAAACACACACAATCACACACACATAAATACACACACACACACAAATAAAACAAATCTTTAAGACTATAATGTAAAACACTTGGAGAAAAAGAGTAAGGAGCCGAAGGACTTGTTCTCCGAAACACTGTGGGTGACGTTGTCAAAGGAAAGAGGAAGCAGGTGAACAGAGAACATCTCATTTATAAAACGGAAAAAACAGTCAAGAGTCTATACCAGGGGCTGGAGGGATGGCTCTGCAGTAAAGAGCACTGGTTGCTCTTGCAGAGAACCTGAGTTCTGCTCCTAGCACCCACATCAGGCAGTTTACAACCAACTGGACCTCCAGCTCCAGGCCTACTGGAAGCTCTCCTGAATCTACAGGCATCTGCTCTCATGTGCATCTACCCCAAAACATGCACACATCATTTTAAAATTCTAAAACCAAAATCAAACTAAACAAAAATGATAAAAGCTACAGTAGCTAAATAAATATTTTTTTTAAACAGCTACAGTTGCCCTCAGAGCGTAAAAGGTGTTGGTGTTCAACCTTGGAGCCACAGGGTGGAGGGAACCGACTCCTGAAAGATGTCCTTGACATCCACACAGACTGTGACACAACCCCTACCATGAAATAGGTGGCAATGAAAAAGCTATTAATTAAAACAGCACAGTATGCACCAAGACACACAGACCAGTAGAGTAAAATACAGTCCAGAAGGGGGCGGGTCCTAAGGGCACAAAAATGAAGCCTGAAGAACACAGTGTAGACCAGAGTAGACAAACAGGTGCAGGAGTCAAGGGGAACTCGAGGTTAGGTGAAGGAACAAAGGAGACAGGGGTGGGGCCTGAATCTGGCAGGGATTTGGGGAAGGGGTTGCTGTGTGGGACAGCAGCCCAGCAGAGGTAGTTCAGGATCTTCCCTCACTGTCTGGGGCAGTTTCTTTGTTCCCCTGTCCTCTGAAGGAGCTGAACATGGAGGACAGCTGAGGAGCAGATGGACAATCAGCACAGATGTCACACTGACACTGTCTCTTCCCCCACAGGCCAGAGGACTAAAGCCGAAACCCCAGCCAGGTGAGCGCCATGCTGTCCTCTGCAAGAGCAGCCAGTGCTCTTGCCCACTGAGCCATCTCTCCAGCCCCTTCAAATGGCATTAGAGGAGCAATGGAGAACCGCACACAGGGCTCTGCACATCTCCCCACCCCTGACTCACCCTGTCTGCTTCCTCCATGTCCTCCATGACGCCATGCTCTTCAGGACCACCAGCTTCACACACTGACAAGGGGTGCAGCAGAGTCTCAGGGAGTCTCCTTCCCAGAACAGCCCCCACCCCAGGCCTCATGGGGTCTTTCTCCTTCTCTCCTTCCATTTCCTAGGCTTCCCTCTCTGTGGCTCTGGCTCCTCTGCCTGGATCCCACCAGCTCTCCCATCTTTCCCTTTCTTCCCTCTGTCTTTCTCTGTGGTCAGTGAGCCCCGCTCCCCAGGAATTCTTTGTTCTAGATCTTCCACATCTCTTGCCCTTCTCTCTTCACCTCCCAACCTCTCTGCCCTTCTCTCCTGTCTTTTCTTTTCCTTACTGCACATGGCCTGCTCTGAGCCTTCGTTTGTTCTGAGAAAGGGTCTCAGATTGGACTGACTGGCCTTGAATTAGTAGCCAAGGATGACCTTGAATTTCTGATCCTTTCACCTCCACCTCCCAACTGTTGGAATGACAAGCATCATACCACACCCGGTTTATGAGGGGCTGGGGATAGAACCCAGGACCATGTCAATTAATGCAAGTACTCTGAGAGCAACACTGCATCCCCAGCTCCTCCCTCTTTCCTCTCCCTGTGGCTTCTTTGGCCAAATTCCCTTCCTCCAGTCTGATCTCAGGTCCATTCTTCCACGAACTTAGCCTGAGCACCTACCGAGATCTGAAATTTTTCTGCCTTCTAGTTTTAATAAAGGTAGTGAGAGAGGATAGCGTTGGTTCTTCTTCCTATTTCTAGTCTCTGTTCCTGCCCAGTGTAAGGCGGTTTCCTAGAGTGACTCACCTTCAGCTAGTGCTGAGAGACCTCGGCCAGGACCCCTTACCAATGGCCTCTCATTCCTCTTCCAGAGAAGGTCGAACACTAACATGCCCATCGTGAGTCATTGAGGATGGCAGAGACCACTCAAAGGGAACCAGCTTCTAGTGTGTGGCATGTGTGTGCTCGAGTGTGTGCATGCATGCATATGCACAAGCACTCATGCACATGCACATGTGTGTGTTCTCAGGTGTCATCCACTTTAGATAATTATTTTTATTGCATTTTACTTATTTGTGTGCATGTGTATATATGTATGTGTGGGTATGAGCTTGTCACAGCACACATGTGGAAAACAGAGGACAACTTCTGAGAGCTGTCTTTTTCCTTCCACCTTGTGGATCCCTGGGATGACATCAGGTTGTCAGTCTTAATGGCATGGCCTTATCCACAGAGTCATTTCACCTGACCCCACTTGGGTTTTGGGTTTTTGTTTTGTTTTGTCTTGTTTGAGACAGGGTCTCACTCTGGTCTGGAACTCACTTAGACATGGTTGGTTGACCAGTGAACATCCAGAGTCCCCCTGTTTCTATCTCCTGAGCACTGAGAATACACTACCATGCCCAGTTCCGTGTGTGTTATTACATGTTATTGTATGTGTGTATATGTACAGTGCACATGTGCCCGTGTGTATAGAAGGCAGAAATCAATGGTGTTCTTTTTCAGTTTCTCTCCATTCTATTTTGTGTTCCTGCGTGTATATTGTATTTGTGTGTGCACTTGTGCATGTATGTGGAGGTCAGAGGTCTATGTCGTGACTCTCCTCAGTGTCTCCCACCTTTATTTAATATTTATTTTGAGACCTTTATAGAAAGGTCTCTCACTAACTGAAGATCATCAGTTTGGCTGGGCTGCGCAGACAAAAGCTCCAGGGATCCACCCATCTCCCCCACACCCTCCAGGGACATTGTATCCAGAATATTTTGTTGTTGTTTTGAGTTTTTGAGACCGGATTTCTCTCTGTAAACACCCCTGGCTGTCCTGGAACAAACTTTGTAGACCGGATTGGCCTCAAACTCACAGAGTGCTGGGTTTAAAGCATGCACCACCACTGTTTGACTGACTGTGCCTAGCATTTTTTATATGGGTCCTTGGAGATCTAAATTTGGTCCTCATGTTTGGGAAGCAGGCCCTTTGCCAACTGAACCATCTCTCCAGCCTCCACTTCATCTTCTGAGAGAAGGTCTTTCACTGAATCTAGAGCTCATCTATTAGTCCAGGCTACTGAACTCCAGGGACTTCTCTGCCTGTCTCTGCTTCTCCAGCATCCAGCTGTAGGTGGGTGGGCTCTGGGGTCTGAAGTCAGGACGTCATGTGTATGTGACAAGCACTTTACTAACTGGGCCATCTCTCCAGCCCAGCAACTAATGTCTTAATTCTTTCTTGTCCAGCCTCTAATCTGTTGCCCATCTTGTTCTCATGCAGGGAACTCATTGAAAACACTGAGAAATATGAGAAAGTTGAGCCCAAAGGTAAATTCTGCCAGCTTCCTGTTCTACACTTGGCTCTGCCTTCTTCTCCCAAGACCATGCACTTACACAAGCATTCCCTCAGTGTTTTCGCCTCTCCCTCCCCCACCCTGTCCCTCCCTCACCCTGTCCCTCCCAAGTAACCAAGGTCCTCACCTCACCATCTGTCTCCCTTCCTGTCACACACCTTGACTTCAGAACTCTGTGTTCCTTTATCTCTAGGACGACGTATGGACCCCAACGAGAACCCCAAGGTAAGCAATTCAGACTCAAGTCTGAAGGAAGTAAAGGGGTATTGATGGAGGCAGAAGGTTGGAGGTCAAAGGTGTGGGAGGGACACTCAGGCTGTAGCTGCTGCTTTATGGGAGCCTCAGTTGCACTGCTGCTATCTAATGCCTTGTCCCCCCACCCCTGCAGGACAACAACATCGTGTATGCCTCCATTGCCCCCTCAAGCTCAACCTCCCCAGGAACACCAGCCTGCCCACCTGTCCATGAGAACCCCCAGGAAGAGACTGTATACTCCATCGTAAAGGCCAAATGAGCGGGTCTGGGTGACCATCTCAGAGTCACCTTTGCTTCTAGTAGGAAGACTCCCAGCTTCCACTGATGCCCACAGAGTCAGACGCGCACAAGTCACAGATACCCATGGCCAGGACAGAAATTCACACGTCAGAAACTCAGAGAAACTAAGAAACTCTCAGTTCCCTTTCCTAACCTGCTAGGCCCTTTTCATACAAATAAAAAGGTCCACAGAATTTGCCTAAGTCAATCTAATTAAGGGTCACTGGTGTGACCCTTAACTTCTGGCCCTCTGAGAGCCCCTCCTCTATCACTTTTTTCTAGTGGCCCAAGGCAGGGGATGCCCCAACTGCTGGCAGCTGTCCACACGATGTTCACCCACATCTGTGAGTATAAAGACCAGCACACACTGTGACTGGTCCCCATGCACCACCGCACAGGACATCAGCAATAGCCCTAGAGAGATGGCGTGAGACAGGGAACTGAACACCAGATGGTTACGGTGTTTTCCAAAGGTCAACTCACTCCCAGGAAGGAGAGCCAGGACTTACAGACATGCTGTCCTGGAGGTTCCCCAGGTCTGGGTCTCCGCCATAGAGACAGGACAGGAAGCACACCTCAGCAGTAGCCAGAGACCGGCTTTATTGACACGGGCTGCACAGCTCTGACTAGAACCACTTGGCAGGGCAACAACCCCGAATTCATCAGATGCTCAAGAACGCTGAGAGACAGACAGCAGTAGGAGGACCAGAGCATGCTACTCCTCAAAAAGGGCCGCCAGGAACTCCTCAGAACTGTCCCTCTGCTGCGAGTCCCCTCCCTCCTCTGGCTCTCCAATGTCTTCCATGAGTTGCTCCAAGTCCAGGTCACTGGAACCATCATCTTCAGGGGGAAAACTAGCTGCCTCCTGTGTCAGGGGCTCCTGAGGTCCAGGACCTTCCTTTCCCATAGGACGAACCCCATGCTGAGCTGGTGGGATAGGGCACTCTGATTCAATTTTAATTTCTTTCTCTTCAGGTAAGTTGATTGCTGAGGCCTTACTTTCAGGAGCCTTAAATTTCTTTTTAGGGCCTAAAGAAAACAAAGTTGAAAGTCTCTTTATGTTAACCTATCCTGATGTCTTACAACCTAGACTTCTTAATTCTTATGCTTAAAGCATCTGAAAGGACAATTGCCATCAGAATGTGGAATATAGGCTTTCGGGTCACACATGGGCTCTAGCCTCCTGTCAGCTGTGTATTCAGCATGGGTCCTGAACAAGTCTGAAACCTCTGAGTCTTTGGGCTGTGTATGTGAAATGTCAGGGGGCTGGAAAGATAGCTCAGGAGTTAAAAGAACTTGCTGCTCTTGAAGAAGACTGGGTTTCAATCCCAAGGCTCACATAGTAGTTCACAACCATCTGTAACTCCAGTTCCAGAGGATATGACACCCTCTTCTGGCCTCTGTGAGCCCCAAGCATACATGTGGTACACAGGCATATATGCAAGCAAAATACCCGTACACATAAAATTTTTAAAAAAATAAATAAATGTTTGAAATCTAAGGCCTATTCCATGAGATGGAACCCATACCTGGCACTGTTAAAGGGTCCAAGAACTTGTGTGTAGACAGATCTTAGGCCCTAAGGGAAAATCCAGTACCATTATTCTACTTAATGGACATGGAATTACTACACACCTCTCAAGGCTCAAGGATGTTTGAGAAAGAAGGGGAAATACAAAAGGTTATTTTCTGAACCCAACAGTGCAGTTGCACATATTAACTTAGTGATTGTGACAGCAGGCATAAGATCTGTGCAAACTTAAGCCAGATACAAATTCAATATGGAAAGGGCCTAAACTCGCACTACTGGCTGAAAAGCTACTGGCATTTTTAAAATAAGATTTAATTTTATTTTATGTGTATGGGTGTTTTGCCAGTACCCAAGGGGGTCAGAAGAAGGTATGAGATCCCCAGGAACTAGAGTCATGGATGGTTGTGAGCCATCATGTGAGTGTCAGGAACTCGGTCCTCTGGAAGACCAGCCAGTGCTTGATTGAGTTTGATATCTGATGAGAGAGGGAAAGTAATTGTCTTTAGTGGTATGACTGACCCCTGATAAGTCAACCACACTCCAAGCCAGGCCCCACTCCCAAGACTAGCTAACTGGACTTGATGGGGTGAGGAGAAGAAGAAAACTCATGTTTGTGAGGTTAGAAAGAGGAGGAGGAAGAGTGTAGATATAGGAGACGTCGAAGGGCGAACACAAAGTACACTGTATGAAATTCTCTAGCTGGGCAGTGCTAACACATTCCCTTTAATCCCAGCACTCAAGAGGCAAAGGTAAGGCACACGTATCTCTGTGAGTTCAAGGTCAGCCTGGTCTACACAGTGAGTTCCCAATCAGCTAGGCTACACAGTGAGACCAAGTCAGTGAGATGGTTCAGTGAGAAACCCACGTGGTAGAAGGATAGAACTGACTCCCAAAAGGAGAGATCTGCACCATGGCATGCACACATGCACACACACACAAATGGTTCAGTGTAAAATGTCAAACATCTAGTCATGGAACCACTGAAAGGTGTAGCAGGAACATCATGGCCTGGAACTCAGAGAGTTGCCTGCCTCTGCTTCTTGAGTGCTGGGATTAAAGGTTTTCCATACTATAACCGACCACAATTAAGTTTATAAAGAATGTTCTAGGTTCAATCTTTTATTCAAAATTTCATTTATCTTCCTTCTCCTCTTTCTCTCTTCTTTCGGTATTTTTGAAAAAGAGTCCCACTCTGTAGCCCAAACTAGCCTCAAACTCATATATAACACAGGACAGTCTCAGCGTCACAATCTTCCTACTGCAACACAAACACATGAAGAGTTGTAGAACTGCTCAGAAATGACCCAGGGAGGAGAGATGCAGACAAGGACTTTAGTCCCCACAGCTTTCAAGTCTCTGAGCCATACCTGGATGGTCCAGGTCTGAATTCCCCTGTTCTTCTTTCCCTCCCAATATGGGTCCAGGAGGGACTATGGACTCATTGCCTGGAGACTTCTTCATAGTCTTCTCTTTTGGAGTCTCATCTCGTCCTCCTGCTGGGCCCAGGCATAAAGAAAATGTGTTGTTATCTTAGCAAGGCAGATGGTGGCCATGCATTTAGCTTCTGCCTTGTTCACATCTCCGCCCACTCTCAGTCTAGCAGGCTTCCTCAGTGGCTTCCAGTTCTACCCATCTTGACATTGCTGCCCCAGGGTTTTCTCCCCACTATGGCTCTCCTCAGAACCATCCTTCTCCAAGAAATCAACCTTGGTAACCAGCACAGCTACTGGAAAACACTTGCTCTTGGCTTCTGCCCTCCCTACCTGTGGGACTTGTAGTGATATTTCATTTGTATTTTAATAAATAAATGTTGCCTGAAGATCAGAGAGTAAAACAGCCACCCTGGTCAGCCTTAAAGACAAGGCAGTGGTGACACACACCTTTAATCCCAGTAGCCATACTAGTTTGCCTTAGAAACCAGGCAGTAGTGGTTCATTACTTTAATCCCAGAACTAGAAAGGAATATAAGATGGGAGGCGACAACTCTCAGTCAGACTCATTCTGAGGATTCCTGGAGGCAGGATCGCCATTTCAGACTGAGGTAGAGGTAAGAGCAAGTGGCTAGCTGTTTTGCTTTTCTGACCTTCAAGTTGAACCCCAATATCTGTCTCTGGGTTTTTATTAATCATGCTACAGGGACTTGCCCCTTTCTGGCTGTCTTCCTTACCTCTTGACTTGGCTTTTTTGGTCTGTATTGTAGCTGGCTTGGGTCTAGGCAAAGCTGAGTTCTTCAATAGGGAAAGAACAGAAAAAGATAAATTGAAACACAAAACTCTTTCTGAAAACTGAGGAGGCATTTAGTCATGTGAATCCCATGCCAACATGAAGAACTGAGTTCAATCTCCAGAATACACATAAAAAAGCTGTGTATTGAATCCAAGGCCAGCCTGATCTACAGAGTGAGTTCCAGGGCCCAAAACTGTTACACAAAGAACCCTGTCTCAAAAAACAAACAAACAAAAAAGCTGCATGTGATGGGGCATGTTTGTAATCCCAGCACCAAGGATATGAAAACAGGTGCATCCTTGGGGCTTGTTAGCCAACCTACTAAATGGACAAACTCCAGACCTATCTCAAATACCAAGGAGAATGGCACCTGAAGATGACACCTGAGATGACCTGTGGTCTCCACATGCATTTGCACATACATGTGTGCACACCTACATGCACATGTACCTGCACACGCATTCTCTTTTGTGTAGAGGAGGGCTAGATAATAATAGTGGGCTTCAGAAAATTAGATGAGGTTTGACTGCAGCCTGGTGCAATTTAAATCTATAGCTGGACAGAGAAATTATGTGGTCACCTTCCTATTCCATTTAGTACCAGTCAATGAAAAGACTGAATGCATAAGAAAAAGGAAATTAAGCTGGTGGGTGGGAGAGATAAACTAAAAACTGTGAGATGGCTCAATGGCTCCAAGCCTGACAACTTGAATTCAACTGGAGGGACCCACGTGGTAGAAAAAGAGAGCCAACTCCCTCAAACTGTTCTCGGGAATGCATTCACACCCCCAAGGAAAAAAAATTTACAAAAAAAGGTAAACTAAAAGAGAAAGTGAAAATGCACGTTTCAGAGTGAGGCTAAGAAAATGGGTGGCATTCCACACAGAAGGAGGGGAAAGGCGACTAGAGGTTTCCTGAAATTACATAAAGGACCAAAGAAACACAGCACAAACTGAGACTATGATCAAGGAGTTCCACAATGAGGAAGGAAAGTTTCCCTTCCTGGAGATCCTCAGGGTGAGGCCAGGGTCAGTGCCCAAGGCTGCATGGTTCACAGGGACCGCGAATCTATGCCAACCACATCCCTTCAGGAACCCCAGGAGAAACGTCACAAGAATGTCCTCTGAACCAGTATTTAAAGCTTTACTTTCTTCTTTTCTTTCTTCTCCTTCTTCTCCTCTGAGTCCTTCTCTTTCTCCAGACAAGACTCGGGGCTGTTGGACTCACGGAGTGCCAGATCTAGACGAGGGAAATGATAGACTATGTGTCCAAGATGCACTAGGTGAGGTGGAGGTGATTTCAAGAAATCCATCTTCCAGCTCCACCTCTGAATCCTCGGAATGGTTCCCATGTCACCACGGTTCCACTTATCACTGCTTACACACCCTGTCTCACCCTCTCCTCACCCATCCGTCCGAGTCACATCACAAGACCTCCC